TCCCACCTGGCCCCTGGCAGCCACGCCGGGCGCGCGCTCACTCTCCCTCTGGGTGCGTGGCTGCGGGGCGCGATGGACGCGGCGCTGCTCCACAGCCTGCTGGAGGCCAACTGCAGCCTGGCGCTGGCCGAAGAGCTGCTCTCGGACGGCTGGGCGCTGGCCCTGGACCCCGAGGGTAGGCAGGAGACGCGCGGACCCAGGCGGCTCCGGCTCCTTCCCTGGGCGCTGGGTGCGCCCAGGGCCCCCCGCTCCGAGCGCTCGGCGCCCGGCGCCCCGCGGCGTCCCGCACCCCCTGCACGCCCTCTGAGTCCCGCTCCTCTCTCTCCCGTCGCCAGGTCCCTACTCCTACTGCAACGTGACCTTGGACCAGATCGGGACGTGCTGGCCCCGGAGCGCGGCCGGAGCCCTGGTGGAGAGGCCGTGCCCCGAGTACTTCAACGGCGTCAAGTACAACAGCAGCAGTGAGTGCCCGGGACCCTCCGCCGCGGGCTTTGAGCCCGCCTCCTGGAAGGGCGATTTAGGGCGTGGGGAGGGCCCCGGACTCAGCGTCGGAGAGGTTCTGAGGGCCGCGCCACCGTCCGACCCGCGTGAGGACCCCTTGTCATGTCGGGGGGCGCTCCCTCTGCCCCTACCCACTGCGGCATCAGACCTCAGGGAGGTAGTGATTTGCCCACGACTCCCGTGATCCGTGCAGTGAGGACCCAGAAGGGGAGTACGAAATGCTCACTCCTTTTGAGGGCACGCTTCTCTTCTGCGTTGTGTGCCCTGGGCGCCTGAAGTTCCCTCGTTAGGGCTTCTCTTTGTTTAGCCAGTTCCACCTCCCCCGCCTCCAGGGGACAGGGGACGCTTATGCGAGGTTCCCAACCCCCGGGGCGACTGCGATGATCAGGCTCTTGACTACCGGAAAGGAGGAGGGCGGGAGGCAGGAAAGATGGGGTGAGCGCTGGTGCTGGGGAAGCGTGCAGTGCGCAGATGCTTCTGGGCCAGAGTGTGGGGTGTCGCCTCTCCCTCTCAAGATGTCTTTGGACTGGCCCTCTGGGCTGCGAGCCGGGGGCCTTGGGTAGCATTACTCCAGCGCCCGGATAATCCATAGAGTCTGAATCAGGACCACCCCTCACCTCCCATGGTGCCCTTCTTTCTCCCGGCAAAGCACTGGCTGGCTAGACACTCTGGGGAAGATGGCAGCTGGAGCCACCCAGCCTCCAGGTGGGGTTCTTCAGTACAGCCTCTGGGAGTGGGGGGTGCCTGAGTCAATGCCCTGTGGAGGGTCTGATGGGAGCCAGGTGGGAGTGTCTTGTGAGGCTGCAGGGCAGCAATCACTGGCCCTCCCTGAAGGGCCGCTCTGGCCTCCAGCCCCAGCCCACCAGCAGAGTCTCCTGAGAGGCAGGGTATCCAAAGCATCCTGGAAACATGATAGCAAACTCCCTCTGAACATCCGTGTCTGAACAGTGGCACAGCTCCTCAGTCCCCTGCTCACGTGCCCCCTACACACACACACACACACACACACACACACACACACACACACACCTGTCCAAGCTCTCAGAGCCTAAGGCCTCCACCTAGAGAGATGTTAGAAGGCAAGACAGCGGTGCCTGCATCGGATGCTAAGTGACACTCCACTGTCTGCACCAGCGGCGGGTCTGGTGGGCCCAGGGAGCAGCTGGGCTCCCGAGAGTCCAACAGCAGAGGCGCTCCCAGTGAAAGGCGTGGTAGAGGTAGTAAGGCCGCTTGGGAAGATTTCTGCATCATCTGAGGACATGCTTCCTGTCTGTGATTAAAACAGACCTCCGTGCTTGGAAGCAAGGTGCTGGGAGGTATGCAAGCAGAAGGAACGGCTTCCATGCTCCTTCCCCATCCTGAGATTACAAAACTATTTTTAGGATCCTGTGAGCTGTGTGGTGTGGAGCAGTGGAGCTCAGGGTTCCTGATTCGGACTGCCAGAGACTAAGGACTGAGTGAGGTGATGAGGCATCTCAGCCCTAGCCTGTGGACCTAAGGGAGCTCTGCTCTGGTTCCTGTCCCAGCCCGGGCTGTTCCCTATTTTCCCCAACCAGCCTGGAGCTCCCTGAGGGCAGGGCCGGGTCTCTTCTTCATGGCAGCACTGAGCACAGTATTTATTCAGTCAGTTTATTAAACACCTACTAGCCGGTCGCTGCACTGGCACTGAGCTCTCGCTCACAACTGCAACAGACGAAAGGAATTCAGAGTGACGTATGCCGTGATGGAGAAGCAGAGGCCGTGGGATACGAGGAGAAGGGAAGCGGGGGACACTTCCCAAAGGAGGCGCCGGACCACTCTGATCACATCAAACGAGAAGCCAAAAAAGACCAAGGAGCCACTGAGGTTAGCGACTGCAGTGTCCCTGGTCTCTGATGAACAGTTTTCTTCATTTGGACCAAAGTGCTGCCCGCACTGTAACTGCTGGTGACCGGGAGGAGCGTAGGGGACAAGAACATTGCCATTAGCTAGTGCGCCAGCTAATAGCAATGGAAGTGCTGTGATTGCGTTTCTTCCTCCTCTGCCTCCTGGCTGCTGCTTCCTCCTGTTATGTTTGCCTTTTCAGTGGGATCCTTTCTTTAGAAAAGACACAGGCAGGAAAACAGCCCCTATGAGAAAGCCTGGGGAAAGAGGAAGAAGGGTCTTGCCTCCCCTTCATGCCCAATTTTGTGATGCTACAGCCAATCCCCCTCCCCCTGAAGCTTCATTCTTCAACGCGTGGTCGTTGGCCAGGTGGGATAACGGCTTAGACATTAGTCCCCGCAGACTTTCATCCACTCAGCTGAGCATAGAGAATCTTCCATAAAGCTCCAAATGGGGGTCATTTTCCATGTGCCAGCCGCCACGGAGAGAACTCTGCACACATGATCCCACTCATCCCTACCTCCCTAAGGCCCCTGCGATATGTACTGCTTCGATGCCCATGTTGCAGATGAGGAAAACTGAGGCTCAGAGACATGATCTAATTTTTCAAGGTTATGGTCAGCTCCCGTGCACTGGTACAGGCAGGGGACTCCACAGCCCTCACTTTCAACCACGGGCGGTACTTCCTCCATGAGAGACAGTTTGTCAAGAGAGTCAAGAGGTACAGAAAAAGACTCCTGCCTCCACCCTACAGGATCAAGGAAGGCTTAGCCCTCCGAGATGGACTTCTAGAGACAGACGGGAGTTTGGCAGGTTGAAGTATAATAGGTACAAGGGAGGAGATGGGACCGTGCTTTGTGCCTCGGGACTGGTGAGTGTTGTATGGAGCACAGGTTGCAGGAGAAAGAAACAGATGAGACATGTGGGTGGATGCTGATCAGATGGTGCGGGCACTGCAGGGGACTTCACTGGGGTGTGGGAGTCGGGGAGCGCCGGCAGGGGCTCGTGAGCAGAGGAGCTCAGCTGTGGGGCACAGAGTCTCTGGAGGCAAGAGGAGGGTCAGGAGGCTACCTCAGCTCGCCCAGGTGAAGTGGAGCCTGCAGGGGGTCAGAAGAGGGTTGGATAAAATTGACAAGACTGGGGTGGGGTGGGGATGGGGATCAGGGAGGACACCAGGAATACAGGAACATGCTGGACACAGTTGGGGATGTGCTGACTCTGAGGAGCCGGAGGGACATCTGAGTAGAGATGTCTAGAACTCAGTTGGCTGGATGGGAAAAAGCCCAGGAGAGCACTGAGGGCTGGAGACAAAGTACTCGAGAATTCTCAGATGTGTGCTTAGCCACCAGTTCCATCTAGCAAGCTGGGGAGGCCAGGTCAGAGCCTTGATTATTTTCAACCAGGGACTATTGCCAAATGCAGCAATGACCAGAGGAAGGGAGGGGACTTATCCATGGTCACATATGCTGCTCCGTAGCAGAACCAAGTCAAGCGTCCATGTGCCCAAGTCCCCTCCAGGGTCCTCCCTACCATCTCTGCTGCTGTTTCAGTGGCCCAGGTTCCACGTGTCTATACTATCATTTAACCTGTGTTAACTCATTAATCCTTCCACTCACCCAATGATAGAGACGTAATATTATCTTCGTATTATCCACGTGGGGAAAATAAGGCACAGAGAAGTTAAGTGACTTTCCCAAAGTCACACAGCTGGTAGCAGAACAAGGATTCTAACCCAGGCTCTGCTGCCTCTCAGAAAGCAACTCTGCTGGGTGAATCAGAGGGATTTGCTGAAGAAATATCAGGGAGCTAGTAGAATCACTGGGTGGGCTAGAGAACCAGACTGGGGGCCTCTAGCCAAGAACTCAGGGCAGAGCTGGCCCAGTGAGGGAACCTCCCCTTTCCGTGAATGGACAATGCTACCAGCCCATGCCACCACTATCCTGGGGTCTCCAGCTTCCCGCAGTGGTCCCTAGGAGGCTTTCTCCCCATCTCCATTTTTGGGCCCCCAACTCACCAATTTTCTCAAGGGAAATACATGTAATAGGGCGAGTGGAATGTGTGGAGCTTGGACCACACACTCCAGTTCTAGCTACAAGGCAGCCTGGAAGGCGAGGACCTGGCATTTCAGCTTAATGGCCGAAGGTGGCCTCCACCTCCCTTCCAGGGTTCCCCGAGCCTGTATGGAAAGCAGGTTCAAATCCTGGGCCACCCAAAGCTGTCATAATGTTCATACACAGCCCAACCCAGGGCAAGTCTCATCCCTTTCCCGGGCCTCGGTCCCTGTCTGTAGGGAGATGGGAAGTGGATTAGCCCAGCAGGGGTCTGGCCAGAAGGGGGACTGGCTTTCCCTTTCCTCCTCCGCCCGCCATTCTACTCCGAGCCTCTGAGCCCATCTCTGTGCGTCCCTGTCTCTCTGTCTCCCTGCCTCTGTGTCGGCTTCCATTTCTCTCCATGTATGGCTCTGGCTCTGGGCAGATTTTCTCGCCGTTTCTACGTGTCTGTCTTTCTCAGTGTCTCCCTTTTTTCTGTCTATGTTGCTCTCCCCCTCCTTCCCATCTTCCCTCTCCAGCTCTCTTCCTCTCTATCTCTCCCTCCCTCCCTCCCTGTTCCCCAAATCCTGTCTCTCCCTCTTCCCGTCCCTCTTTCTATCTGCCCTACTCTGGCACCTCCTCTTGCCGGTCCCCGTGGTCCTCTCGGCTGCTGCCTCTTCCTGGACGAGGTCCATTTTCCTCCTGCAGAATCGCTAAGCCCAGCCCGGCCTCTGCCTCCCTGATCTCAGACCCCCGCCATGTTCTGCTGGGAACAGCTGGTCCCATCTGTGCTGAGGCATTGTCTGGGATGGGAGAAGAAGGGACCCCCTACTTAACCCAACTCTGTGGAGAGGACAGGGGTCCCCCTTCCCAGAACCCCATAGGTGGTGTTAAAATGCAAGGGCATAAGCTGAGTGGTCTCCAGCCAGAGGGGTCTGGCCATTGCGTCTGCCCACTTGTGCAAAAATCTCCTCTTCAGCCCTGAAGGGGTGGGGGTGACAGGAAAGGCCAAGTCCTGCCCTCAGGGTGCCCCAGGCTGCTTACAGATCAGACTCACACAAATGAGC